ACAACTATATGCTGTGTATAAGAGACTTACATTAGATTTAATGTAGAGATGAAAATGAAGAGATGAAAAAAGGTATTCCAGACATGTGGTAACCAAAAGGTGGCAGGCTTGGCTGTATTTGTATCAGGCAAGATAGACTTTAAATCCAAAACTGTCATAAGCGACAAAGAAGGACAATGTATAATGATAAAAAGGCCAATTTACAAGGAAGATATAACAATTATAAATAGAGATGCACCCCAAATCAGAACACCTAAATATATAAATCAAACATTGATGGAACTTAAGGTAGAAATAGGCAGCAATACAGTAATAGTAGGAGACTTCAATACCCCACTTTTAACAATGGACAGAACACTGAGACGAAATCAGTAAGGAAACAGCAGACTTCAACTGCACTGTAGACCAAATGGACCTGACAGACGCGTACAGAACATTCTACCCAACAGCAGCAGAATATACGTTTCTCCTGTGCACATAGAACATTCTCCAGGATCGATCACTTGTTAAGTCACAAACTAAGTCTTAGCAATTTTAAGAACATTGACATACCAAATATCTTTTCTGACCATAACGGAATGAAACTGGAGATCAGTAGCAGAGGGAATACTTGAAAATTCACAAATATGTGGAAATTAAACAATATACTTTTAAACAAACCAATGAGTCAAAGAAATTACAAGGGAAATTAGAAAGTATCTTGAGACAAACAAGAAAACATACTATAGCATAAGAAATATAGCAAAAGTAGTACTAAGAGGGATTTTTATAGTAATAAATAAGTTAAAGATGTCAAATAAACAAGCTAATGTTATACCGCAAGGAACTAGAAAAAGAAAAAACTAAGCCCAAAGTTAGTAGAAGGAAGGAAATAATAAAGTTCAGAGCAGAAATAAATGAAGTAGAGAATAGAAAAACAACAGAAAAAGTCAGTGAAACCAAGAGTTGGTTTTTTGAAAGGATAAAATTGATAAAGCTTTAGCTAGACTAAGAAAAAAGATAAATTAATAAAATTAAAAGAGGAGACATTGTAACTGATGCCACAGAAATAAAATGAGTCATAACAGACTACTATGAACAATTGTATGACGACAAATTGGATAACCTAGAAGAAATGGATAAATTCCTCAAAGCATACAGCCTACCAAGACCGAATCGCGAAGAAACACAAAGTCTATAACTGTAACTAGTAAGGAGGTGGAACCAGCAATCAGAAACCTTCCAACAAAGAAAAGTTCAGGACCAGGTGGTTTCACTAGGGAATCCTACCAAACATTTGAAAAATTATTAATGCCAGTGCTGCTTGAGCTCTTCTAAAAAATTGAAGAGAACACTTCCTAACTCACACTTTGAGAGCAACATTACCCTCATACCAAAGCCAGGCAAATACCACAAGAAAAGACAAGTTTAGGCCAATATTCCTGATAAACATAGATACAAAAGTCCTCAGCAAAATACTAGCAATTAGAATTCAGCAGTACATTGAAAGGATCACACACTATGACCAAATGGCATATCTCTGGGATGCAGGTATGTATGGTTCAGCATACAAAAGTCCATTAAGATGATACACCACATTAGCAGAATGAAGGTAAAATCACATAATCATTTCAATCGATGCAGCAAAAGGATTTGGCAAAATTCAGCATCTTTTATGATAAAAATTCTTAGAATTAGGAACAGAAGGCAATTACCTCAACATCATATTCAGTGGTAAAAAGCTGAAAGCTATTCCTGCAAGATCAGAAAGGAACAAGGCAAGGATGCCCACTCTCACCACTTCTATTCAGCAAGTACTAGAAGTTTTAGCCAGAGCACTTAGGCAACAACAAAAAGATATAAAAGCATCCAAATTGAAAAGGAAAGAAGTAAAATCATCTGTTTGCAGATGACATGGTCTAATATATAAACCTAAAGATTCCACTGACAATTTATTTGAACTAATTAAACGAATTCAGTAAAATTGGAGATTATAAAGTCCACATACAAAAATCAGTTGTGTTTCTATACACTAACAGCAAACTATCCAAAAAGGAAATTAAGAAAATAATCCCAATTATAATATCATCCAAAAGAATAAAATACTTAGGAATAATTGCAAACCATATATCTGATAAAAGGATAAATATCTAAAATGCATAAAGAACTCCTATAACTTGATAGCCAAGATCAAAGAAAAAAACTTGATTAAAAAGTAGACAAAGAACTCAAATAGACATTTCTCTAAAGAAGACATAGAAATGGTTAACAAGTATGTTAAAAATGTTCAACATCACTAATTAACAGGAATGTGCAAATCAGAACGACAATAAGATATCACCTCACACCTGTTAAGGTATCTATTCTCAAAAACCAAAAAGAAAAGATAACAGATGTTGGCAAGGGTCTGGATAAATTGGAACCCTTGTACACTGTTGGTGGGAATGTAAAATGGTACAGCAGCTATGGGAAACAGAATGGAGTTTTCTTCAAAAATTAAAAATAGATCACCAAGTGATTGAGCAATCCCTCTTCTGGGTATTTATCCAAAATAATTAAAATCAGGATCTTGAAATGATGCTAGTGCTCCCGTATTCATTGCAGCATTACTCACAACAGCCAGTGTATGGAAACAACCTACATGTCCACTGACAGATGAGTAGATAAAGAAAATATGATATATACGCACAATGGAATATTATTCAGCCTTAAAGAAAAAGGAATTCTGCCATTTGCAACAAATGAATGAACTTTGAGGACATTACGCTAAATGAAATAAGCCAGGCACAGAAGGTCACACACTGTAATTCTACTTATATGAGGTATCTAAAATAGACTCATAGAAGCAGAGAGCAGGATGGGAGTTGACAGGATCTGGTGGGATGGGAAAATTAGGAGTTGCTATTCAGTGGGTATTAAGTTACAGTTATGGAACACGAATAAGTTCTAGAGATCTGCTGTACACCACTATTCCTGTAGTTAACAATACTGTATTGTACACTTAAAAGTTTGTTAAGAGGGTAGATCTCATGTTAAGTGTTCTAATAAAATTAAAAAGAAGAAGATGAGGAAGAACCAAGAAGAAATAGAAACAACACTAGGAGATGGAAATAATGAAAAGAAAGTCATCATTGAGATAAGAAAATATATGTTGTATCCATTAAATAAGAATAGGATGGTATAAAATAGAGAATATTCTAAGAATAATTGAAAGCAGTAGCAGAGTGGAAAACTCAATAGAAGGACTAGGGGATAAAGTTGAGGGGCTTTCCCAGAAAAAAAAGGATCATAAGAAAAAAAAAAAGAAAAAAGAGAAAATAAAAAAGATTGAAATTTGGAGGAATAAAAGAGACAGTACATGAAATCTAACATCAAATAATAGGAGTTCCAGAAAAAGATAATGAAAAAAACAGAGGGAGGAAAATTATCAAAGAAATAATTGAAGAACATTTTTTGGAGCTGAAAGAAATATTAATTTCCAGGTTAAAGGGACCACGGTGCGCTACTGCAATAGATGAAAACACCATGGCACAGCTTTATGGAATTTCAGAGCACCAGGGAATGGAATAAATAGAATGGATTTGTACACTTGGTAGAGTTTGGGATTAAATAGATGAAAAATACACAGAAAACTAAACCAATGAAAAAAAACAGGCTTTTCCTGACTCCAGGAAAAACAGAAGGTGATCATAGCATACCACCAGAGTAAATTTTTAGTAGCATTTTATCATCATAATGTCTACATTGAATATTGCTCTAACTGAAATATGTGCTATAACAGTATGGGAACAGTGGGAGGGGTGGGAAGAGTGGGGATGGGGGATGTGAGAGGGAACAGCTCATTATTACGTAGTGGGAAGTCAATAGGAATCGTAAAACTGATGTCAAGTAATAGCAGTTTAAGTACAGTCATCTCTGTATCTCGGGGGACTGGTTCCAGGACCCCCCTCAGATGACAAAATCCACGAATGCTCAAGTCCCTGATGCAGAATGGCACAGGATTTGCATATAACCAACACACATCCTCCTGTATTCCTTAGATCATCTCTAGGTTACTTAGAATGCCTAACACAATGTAAATGCTGTGTAAGTAGTTGTTACGCTGTGTTATTTGGGGAATAATGACAAGAAAAAGTCTGTGTACAGTTTAGTACAGATGCAGTTTTTCTTCCAAATATTTTTGTTCTGTGGTTGGTCGAATCCACAGATGTAGAACCTGTGGATGAGGAGGGCCAGCTGTGTGCTATTTAGTCATATGATTTTTAATGGAACACAGGTAAAACATATACATAAAATATGAGAATCAGCCCACATATATGCTGCCTGTCCCTTAGGTCAATAATCTTTATGGAACAAAAATCAAAGGAAGGCAGGTTTAGAGAACTAGACTAGACCGTAGGTTATTTACTATCTTGATATCATCAAGTCTTACCTTTTTGTTCTGTCTCATCAAAACTTTCTTCAGTTACCGTAGGTTGGTGTGGGCTGGGCCCTAAGTTGAGGAGGTGGGGAAGGTGGCCCTTGCGGGCTGTCGTTCAGAGTTTTATGCCATTTTCCCTCTGCTTTTTCAGATTGGGAGTGTCCCAAGTTGAAAGACCACATGCAATGGAAGAATTCCACTCTTCTGGACACCAGTAAGGCAGTGACAATAGAGAAGGCAGCACAGTTTTCAGATCTCTCTGCAATTTTAAGTGAGTTTCACTTCACAAGGGAACATCCCTCATCTGCGTTGGAAAAACAAAATATTTTGTCTCTTGAATGATTTCTAAGCTAAGTTTATCAGTTGGATTGTCTTTGACTACAAACTACATCTGGTAGTTGCTTAAGTATATATGGGTTTGCTTTTTTTTAAAATTAAAAAAAAATTTTTTTAGAGACAGGATCTGGCCATGTTGCCCAGGCTGGACACAAACTCCTGGGCTCAAGTGATCCTCCAGCCTCAGCCTCCCAAGTGGTGGGACTACAGGCAGGTCCCACTGCACCTGGCTGGGTTTACTTTTTTATAACTTTTTATTCTGAACTAATTTTAGAATTGGGTAAAAGTTGCAAAAATAGTACAGAGGGTTTCCCACATAGCTCTCACCCAGCTTTCCCTAATGTTACCTTATATAAACCTTAGTACAGTGATCAGAACCAAGAAATTAACATTGGTGTAAAATAGTAACTAAACTGCAGACCTTATTCAAATTTTGCCAGTTTTTCCTTTAACGTCTTTTCTTCTGTTTCAGTATCCTATCCTGGATCCCCCATTGCGTTAATTATTATTTTTCCTTAGTCGCCCACAGTCCGTAACTGTTCTGAGCTTTCGTAATCTTGTTACTTTTGAAGAGCCCTGATCAGTTACTTTGTTGAATGTCCCTCAGTTTGAATTTGTCTTGATGGTTTCTCACGGTTGTAATCAGGTGACGCAGTTTTAGTACGAACACTGCACAGGTGATGTCGTCCCCTTCTCAGTGCGTCAGATCATGTCATGGGCTTTCTTATGTCATCATTTTGTGTTCCTGGTGATGATAAATGTCATCACTTGGTTAGGGTAGCATCTGCTGGGTTTCTCCAATGTAAAGTCACTGTTTTCTCTTTGTAATTAATAAGTAATCTAGACAAAGGTGGTTTGAGACTGCAAATTCGGTTTCTCCTAAAACTGTAGTTCACCAAGTTTAGCAGCTGTCAGAGGGACCAGTTGGCTGAAAGCCTTATCACTGTGGTACTTGTCTAATGAAGAGTTTACATTCCACTCCTGCATGCTACGTTTATTCATTGGAATTCTGTGAAAGAACAATTATCTCTTTTCTGCCATTTGTTTATTTGATTACTTATATCAGTGTGGACTCATGGATATTTATTTTATTCTATGGGCTAAAATCCAATACTTGCTTTATTTATTTACTTATCTATTTAATTCTATTAGATATACAAAGTAGTTTTGGAGGTGTTAACCCAGGCCCCTGTGAGAAACACGTTTATTAAATAGATTACAGTATTTATGTATAGTTCTTTCTATCTTTAGCATTATAGTATCCAGTCAAAATAATAATTTCCCAAAATTACATGAGTTAGCTCTCTTTTCTCCCACTCTTTGGTGTATGAGAAGTGTTATTTACTTGTAATATGTGGAGTTAGATCCATTTGTTACTGTTGGATTCAATTTTGGGTTCACCCATCCTGTTTGATGTTGTTTATTTATTCAGTGAAGGTATATGAAACATTACTGTTGTTCTAAGAGTCATAGCTATATAAAAAGGTATCCTTAGAAATTACCAATTTCTCCTTCTCTTCCTGCTACCATTCTCCTTTCTACCCCTTTGCCACCCATTCTCTATAGGTGACCAGTCTCTTTAGTTTCTGGTTTATTTTTTTTGTGTTTCTCTTATATAAATGAGCAGACACCTGTATCCTCCTCTTTGTTACATGAAGGATACCGCACCATGTACCTATTCTTTTTCACTTTGCTTTTTCCACTTAGCAGTATGCACTAGAAATCACTCTGCGTGGGTTTATAGAGATCTTCCTCATATTTTTATAGCTGCATAGTTCTCCACTGTGTGGATGTACCTGTTTATCCAACCACTCCCCTGTGAATTGGGTATTTAGGTTTTTTCTCAATATTTTGCCACTACAAATAATACTGCAGTGAATATATTTTCAGAGTTAGGATGGCTGGGTCAAAAGGTAAGTGGATATGTAGTTTTGTTGGATATTGACAAATTTTCTTCCAAAAGGATTAAAACAATTAGCATGTCTCCCTATATCTTCACCAACAGATTGTGTTGTCATGTTTTTAAATTTTTGCTGCCCTAATAGGTGAGAAATGATATCTCTGTATTATCTTGATTTGTATTTCCCTAATTATATGTGAGTTTAAACATTTTTCGTATATTTGAGAGCCATTTTTATTCTCTTTCTGTGTGAGTGAATTTTTCTTTCAGGTCTTTCTCCCATTTTTCTATTTGGTTTTCCATCCTTTACCCTCAATGTCATATATATATTTTATATATATATATGTATTTTTTTTTTTTTTTTTTTAGATGCAGGGTCTCACTCAGTTGCCTGGGCTAGAGTGCAGTGGCATCATCACAGCTCACTGCAGCCTCTAACTCCTGGGCTCAAGTGATCCTCCTGACTCAGCCTCCTGAGTAGCTGGGACTACAGGCATGTGCCACCATGCTTGGCTAATTTTATATTTTTATTTTTTGTAGAAATGGGTTCTTGCTGTTGCTGGGCTGGTCTCAAACTCCTGGGCTCAAGTAATCCCTCGCCTTGTCCTCCCCAAGTGGTAGGATTACAGGTGTGAGCCACCCCGCCCAGCCAAGAGCTCAATATATTTTAAGAATATTAGTCTTTTGTCTGTTGTATATATTATGAATATTTTCTCCCAGTCTGTCAGTTGTCTTTTTGTTTGTGGTATTTTTTGTCATGCAAAAAATTTTTGTTTATATTGAGTTTACTTTTCTCCCATACCAGTCCAGACCTAATGTAGCAGCTCGCTAATATCATCCAGACCATAGGCTCTTGTGTCAACACTTAACAACCAAGCGTGTGGGCTCATTACCGCATAGTTACAGGATGGTCACTAAACCTCTAGGCATCACAGCCATGTTCCTGGCAGAAAGATGAGAAAGGGCAGTAGTAGCAATACATGTCTCCTTTTATTGGAAGAGCAAAATGTTCTCAGAAATTCCCTAGAAGAATTCTGTTTAGGTCTATTGACCAGAATTGGATCATATATCCACCGGCTACCAGGGAGACTGAGAAACCAAATATTTTGCTTTTTATCCTCTGTAGTGATAGAAGGCAAGAGAAAATGCAAAAATGGAGAAGGGGAGTAGGAGTAGATGTTGTTAGCCCACCTAGTAGAGCCTGCCACTAAGCAAGGGGAATATCAGTCAGCAAACTGGACATTGGGTTAGGTGTCCTTTATGGAGAAGTCAGTAACAGTCTGGATGGGAGTATTTCTAACAATGTTTAAAGGCCTTGTCTTCTGCGTTACGTTTAGTTTGGTAGCTCCTTGCTGATACAAAGTGCTCAGAGAAGCAGCCTAGTTCTTTAGCAAGTGTTTGGGTTAGGCTCTTTGTCCACTTCAACTGTCAAAAAACCTAACTCGATGTTAGGTTAAAAAGGGAATTTATTACCATATGTACCTGAAAAATTCAGCAGTAAATCAGATGCATATGCCCCTCGGTCCAGAGTTTCCAATGATATCAGTAGAACCCGTTTCCCTTTGTCTCTCAGCTCAGGGTCCCGCCGCGTAAGTTCACTCTCAGCCAAGTCCTTTTATGTAGCAACTCTTTCTAGCTCCAGGCTTATCTACTCACTTGAACAGAAGTCCTGGACCTCACACATTGGCTTAAACTAGTTCATACGCCTGTCCCTGAACCAGTCACTTTGACCAGGGAGACGCAGGGCTCTTACTGCATTGAATTATAGGCTATGCCTGAATGATCAGAAGAAAAATCGGGACCGTTACTAGCAAAAATAGAGAGTAGTTGCTCTGTGATGTGTCCACTGTAGTCATTTATGTTTTGAGAGCTTCCCTTTCAAGAAAGCCTTGAGAAACACCATGCACTTTACCTCCCCTTAACTGTTGAGATTTTAAAGTTTTGATCTAGTGTAAGCCATGTGCTGCAGCGGCTAGTTTACTACCGCCTCGTGCACCTGAGGCAGTAAAACGTTGAGAGGAGACATGCTCTTGACTAATCAATCTACTGGTATGCATGTCTATATATTTGGTATTGGACTAAGAACCATGAGACCTAAGTTTAAAGTCCCAGATATTCAGCTACTGGTTTTGTAACTTGACCAGTTATCTTTTTTTTCTTATATGTAAAATGGGGGCCAGGCACGGTGGCTCACACCTGTATGTATTCCCAGCACTTTGGGAAGCTGAGCCAGGAGGATCACTTGAGGCCAGGAGTTTGAGACAAGACTGGGTAACATAGTGAGAACCCATCTCTACAAAATATAAAAAAAGTCAGCCACGTGCGTTAGGTGCCTGTGCTCCCAGCTACTTGGGAGGCTGAGGCAGGAGGATGACTTGAGCCTGGGAGTTTGAGGTTGCTGTGAGCTAGGATGATGCCACTGTACTCTAGCCTGGGCAACAAAGTGAGAAGCTGTCTCTAAAATAAAATAAAATGGGGATAATAAATTGGTATATTTGCCTGACAGGATTGTTGTAAGAAATAAGTAAGATAATAGATGTAAAAAGAGCTCAAAAATTATAAAGAACTAAAAAAAAAAAATTATAAAGAACTATTCAAATACAAGGTGACTGATTCCTGTATCTCATAATATTTTGCAACATATTTGTTTTACTTTGATATTGAGAAAATACTTTTATCTAATTTAAGTGACAGATATAAAAAGATAAAATTATAAAAATAAACTGCATAGTCATCATGTGTCTTGGAGGAAATATTTATTTTTACCTTGAGTAATTTTAGCCTCTGGTTTGTCTTTGGATTATATTTCTAACAGATTTTTAAAATTTCCTTTCCTAGGTGCCTCTTCAGAAGATTATCAGAAATGCCATAATAAAATGTAAGAACTAAAAAATTTAAAGTTATTGTGCTTTTGAGAATCCTGTATTGTAATAGTTGTATAGCAAGTATGATTGTCAGTCCACAAACTCAGGTGTTCATTCACTGACTATTTGTTGAGGACTCACTACATGTCGGAACTATTCTAATTGCTAGAGATACAGTAGTGAACAAAGTTGATTAAAAACAATCTCTGCCCTCACGAAGTCCACATTCTAGTTGGAAGAAATGGACAATGAACAAATAAACAAGAAAACTTATACTGTATTATATGTTAATGAATGCTATGGAGAAAAATAAAGCAAGCTGGGAGCTGGGGAATATTGAGGTGGAGATTTGCTATTTTAAGTAATGTGGTTAGGGAAGTCATCATTAAAACCTAGCATTTGGCCGGGCGTGGTGGCTCACGCCTGTAATCCTAGCTCTCTGGGAGGCCTAGGCGGACGGATTGTTTGAGCTCACGAGTTCGAAACCACCCTGAGCAAGAGTGAGACCCCATCTCTACTAAAATTAGAAAGAAATTAATCGGACAACTAAAAATATATAGAAAAAATTAGCCGGGCATGGTGGTGCATGCCTGTAGTCCCAGCTACTCGGGAGGCTGAGGCAGAAGGATTGCTTGAGCCCAGGAGTTTGAGGTTGCTGTGAGCTAGGCTGATGCCACGGCACTCTAGCCCGGGCAACAAAGTGAGACTCTGTCTCAAAAAAAAAAACATAGCATTTGAGCAGAGACTTTCTCAAGAAATGCACAGAGCAAGCTGTGTGACTGACTGGGGAAAGACTGTTCCAGGTAGAAGGAACAGCCAGAGCAACACCCTGAGGCCAGAAGTCCTGGAGCTTCTGGAGTGGAGAGAGGTAGGAGATGAAGTGAGAGAAGCAGCAGGAGGCCAGGCCACATAAAGCATCGTAGGCCAAGGTAGGTGAGCTGGATGGCCTTTGAAGAGCGATACGGCTTATGTTTTGGAGGAATCATCCTGGCTGCTGTGATGAGAATAGGCTATGGGGAGGCAAGGAATTAGGGTGATTATAGTTAGGAGACTATTGCCCTAATCTAGGCAAGAAATATTGGAGTATGGACCAGAAGGGTAAGAGTAGGGGTGGTGAGATGTGATCAGATTTTGGATATATTGTGAAAATAGAACCAGCAGTATCTGTTGCTGAACTGAATGGTGGGACGTGAGAGAAAGTATTCAAGGCTGACTCTACAGTTTTTTTTTTTAAATTTGACTCCACAGTTTTGGCTTAATAGATCTGTAAAATAACATTTCACAAAACTCTTCTGATGTATTTTTGATCTTATGTAAGTTATTTAAGGTAAATTAGTATATCTAAGCATCATTTTGTAGAAGCTTGTCAGTCCAACATTTTATTAATTCACATTGGCTCTTAATGAATACCATTGCAATTTGGATATTCACCTTACTGTACTGATTTTAATAATTTTAATCTTGCTATTTCCTTCCATGGTTTCCTTAAGCCTTGCTTCCTGCTATTCTGTAAAATTGACATTCTATTCTAGTCCCTGCATAGTTGCCAAAATTATTTCTCTTTCTCTCTTAAAGAAAGAAGACTATAAGGTTCATTTTCATTGTTTTAAATTCATACCATATGAAATGCAGTATTATAGGGAAAATAATCAATACTTGTGGATCAAAAATGATTATATCATGTTACTAAATTCAATTAGTTTTCTAATCTAATTTTTTATATTCTTGGTAGTCTGAAGTAATCTCTGTTCGTTGTGAATTACCAGAAAGTTCCTGCCCTCCGTGTGTGGGATCCCTTCCTGGATTAGGAGTTTCCACCGCTGATTGCTTATCGTAACTCTGTGAAGCTTGAGAACAGAATGACCTCTGTTGGCCCTTGGGAGCTAATAGCTATGCTTTACTGATATAATTGTTTCTAAAAGCACTATATCTATTAGTATTTATTTCAGGCAACTCTGTATCACATAGATTTTTAAAAATATGCCAATATCTCTTGCTTTTGAGGTTCCTAAAAAAAAAAAAAGAATGGAGTTGCCATTTATTAAGATGGGGAAGACTGAGGAGAAGTAAATTACTGGAGGAAGAGTTGGTTTGGGGCATACGGATTGCTTGGTAGGGTACATGTGAAAGAGACAGAATCTAAGTTCAGGGAGGTGGTCATAGCCTGTATCATGAGGGCTTGGCGTTTTATTTTATCCTAAATGTGATAAGGATCTCTGAAAGGTTTTCTGTAGGACTATAGCATATAACAAAATTTTTAAATTACCTTAACCCTCAAAGGATTTGAAGGAATTTTTAGAAAATTCATACGAGTTTAAAAACAAAGTTAGGAGACATCATCAAGAAAGTGAAAAGACAACCCACAGAATGGGACAAAATATTTGCAAACCGGATATCTGAAAAGGGACTTGTGTCTTGAAGGTAAAAAGAACTCTTACAACTCAACAGTGAAAGGACAAATAACCCAATTTAAAAACGGGCAAAGGATCTGAAAAGACATTTCCCCGAAGAAGACATACAAACAGCCATAAAAGATGGAATGTGGATCAAGACCACAGTGAACTTCCTGCCACTTCACACCCACTAGGGCGGCTATAATCAAAGGCAGATAATAGCAAGTGTCAGCTCGAATGTGCATAAACCTTCATACCTTACTGGTGGGAATTTTAAATAGTCAGTCTGCTCTGGAAAACAGTTTGGCAGCTCCTCAAAATATTAAACATGTTTTGAGGAACTGCAAGACCGTATGACCAGCAATCCACTCCTAGCTATGCACACCCAGGAGAAATGAAAATATACACAAAAACTGCTACATAAATATTCACAACTTTATTCATAATAGCAAAAACAAAGTGGAAACCGCCCAGATGCCCATCTACTGATGAATGGATAAATAAAAAGTGGTATATGCATACAATGGAATATTATTCACTAATAAAAGGGGATAAAATATTGATATAGGCTACAAAATGGATGAACCCTGCAAACATTGTGATCAGTGAAAGAAGCCAGTCACAAAATACCACATACTTTATGATTCCATTCATTTGAGGTGTCTGTAATACAGCTAGTCTCACATAGATATCTGCAGAGACAGAAAGCAGATTAGTGACTGCCTAAGCTGGGAGGCTTGGAAAGAAATGGAGATGAGCTGCTGATGGATACAGGGTTTCTTTTAGGGGTGGTGAAAGTGCTCTAAAGGTGGTTGTGGTAATGATGGCTACACAGCTCTGGATGTACCAAAACCATCGAATTGTAAACTTTAAATGGATGAATTATATGTATATGTGAATTATATCTCAATAAAGCTGTAAAAAAAGTTAAGACCAAGGAAACCAAGGAAATATAATTTTTAATAGAAGATATAGACAGGAGGAAAGGGAATTAGAACAAAAATAAGCCATAAGAGTTAGGAGTAAAATGCTTTAATTGAGCCAAATTTAGCTCTGTGCTACTTAAGATACAAGGAAAAAAGTCTACAGCTATTGGATAGATTTCATTTTCTTCAAATAATCATGTACAACTCTTACTGTCTTATGACTAGGATTTTTGCCAGAATTAAATGCTAAACAGTCCATTGTTGTCTTCTTTGGTGGGAGTCTAAAGTATAGGTATTCTGTGCTGATGGGAGTGTAGGGGTAAGGACTGATAGACTTTGTTTTTTGTTTTTTGTTTCTTAGATAGGGTCTTTCTCTGTCTCCTGGGCTGGAGTGCAGTGGCGTCCTCATAGGTTCCTTTTAACTTCAACTTCTTGGGTTTGGTTGTTCTTGTTGCTTCGGGTTCTTGGTTGGTTGGGCTTCCGGTTTTGGTTCCCCCCTTTTGGTTATTTTTTTTTTTTTTTGTAGAGATGGGGCCTTGCTCTGCTCAAGCAGGTCTCACTCTCCTGGCCTCAAGCGATCCTCACACCTTAGCCTTCCAAAGTGCTAGGATTATAGAGGTGAGCCACCGTGCCCGTCCTTAATATACTTTTGAGTGCAGATTTCTGTGGAACTTTTGCATTGCCCAAAAATCTTACCTCTTGTCCTTCTTCACAGACATGTGCATGATTAGATTTCTGTCTTAGAGCACTCACTCTTGTGGTAAAGAAAAAGATGAATTGGAAGGAATATTTCAGTTGAAGGGGTGACTGCTGTAACATTCCAAGGGAGTTATGATGAGGACCTGAACTTCAACAGCAGTGATAGCAGACAGGAAAAATACAAGAACAGTTCAGGATGGATAGTTAATAGTTTTTAATGACTGATTGGAAGAAAATGGAATCCAAGTTGGCCCCCAGCCCTCTGGCTTAGGAAGCTGGATGGATGGTAACTTATTCACAAGACAAGAGAACACAAGTGGAAAGCAAGAGAGGGTCGGGGTGACACTGAGGTGCCTAGAGCACTTTGAAGTGGAGACGTCCGGCAAGGAGTTGTGTGTCCCAGCTTGGAGAACAGGGAAAGGTCCTGGGCTGAAGGCATAGTTGGTCTCCTTGGGAAAGTGTATAGAGTGAGAAGAGAATAGCAGTAGTGTGATAGCCTCCTTATAAATAATGTTGCTTATGTTTAAATGGTGAGAAATTTCTGAAGAAAAGAAAATCTATTAACTGTTACTCTTGGGTGAATTGTTCTTCAGTGAATGACAGTGAAAATTGTGCAGGTAAATGACTAAAGCCCAGAAATGATAATAGACTCACTTTTTAAAAAAAATCCCTTCCACAGTTTGCAATGTAATATATATACTTAAGGAAAGAGTGATATTAATATTTGGATAATAACAATACCAGATTTGTGCACCTATTTATCTACTAGACATTTGGCATTCTCTTTAATTAAGTAGCACATTCACAAAGTTAAAACCCTACAACTTTGATGTAGTAGCTAATGGAGAAGGGGAGTTTTATTTACATTGCTGTAAGACGTGTGCCTGTATATCAAAATGGAGCAAATATAATAGAACACTGGATTATGTGTATCTGATCCTGTTTCCTGTCTCCCCTAAATGCTGCCCTCTCTTTAAAAAATATAACCTACCGCCTGTATGTGCAAAGAAAATATAGCTTTCTTTTTTTAGAAAAATAACTGGTCTGAACTTTTCATAGGCCCTCATCATCCTTCTCCCCTATTTAGCTGGGAAATGATGAATTTAACTTACTTATTGTCATTCAGTTACTTCCAGTTCAAAGTCCCTTTTGGGTGAATGCTGACTCTCAGATTTTCTCCCCATTCCTCATTCCTGAGAATGGCATATGGGGAGGTGATCATACCTCTTGATTTGCCTGGGATAGTCCCAGTAAATGCCTGTTGTTCTGCTCTGTTCTTAACAGAGCACCCTTTTACTCTCCAAAATGTTGCAGTTGGGCAAATGGTCACCCTAGAGGTGTATAGGCATAGGGCAGACCTTATGTAGGCTTGCGTTATAGCAAGAGTGGGGGAAGGATGAGGTTACAGCCTGAGAGTATCTGGGATCCATAAGCTGTCTGAATTTTTACTGATTTATGCTGCCACTTCCTAGATGGGTTCTATACCTGATCTGGGCTCCACTGATAAAGTCATTGACTGCTAAACTTAAGGCCTTATTTAGGACCTGAGGTCCTCTGTTGCTGATTTTCCCTCACCTTAGCTTTTGTTCTTCTCCAAACTCTTTGATTCTCATTGAAGTCCTCTATCTAGACTTTGACTGGGCTGCCTTTTGGCAACCTTTGTGATAGAGTCACCTGACCACAGCACCTCTATACCAGGTATTTTGGCTCTAAATTTGACCACTTCCTGCATTTCCCTTGGTGTATGGAACCTTGAGACTTGATCACAACGCACGCGAGTGAAGGGAGTACCGCTAGGGCTAACTGAGACCCCTTCTCTGCCTTAACATCCCAAGCTCTTATTTTATTGTTGAGTTTTCACTTGTGTGGACATCCAGAATTTAAAACAGGGAGTTTGGCACATGCCCTCTCTACTTTTGGTTTTCTCTTCACCTCTTCTAATATCTTCCTACCTGTTACCTCCATCTCCAGAGTTTGGGCTTGAGGGAGAGAAGTCAGTTTCCACTGTCTGACTGCTTATTTCCTAAGCCTTTGTCCCCCTTCTCCTTCTAATAATGCTTTGGACTGGAAGGAGTGGTGGAGGAATCTGTCTTTGTTTACATCCTGAGTTTTTCTTTATTATATGGCTGTCCTAGTCCATTTTTTGTTGCTTGTAACAGAATACTTGAAACTGGATAATTTATAAGGAAAAATTTATTTCTTATGTTTATGGAAGCTGAAAAATCTAAGGTTGAAGGGCTGCATCTGGGGAGGACCTTCTTCCCGGTGAGGGCCCTCTGCAGAGTCTCGTGGTAGGAGGCGTCACATAGCAAGGGCTGAGCACGCCAGCTCAGGTCTCTCTTTCTCCTCCTATATAGCCACTCACGCCACTCCTGTAACAATCCATTGCTCCGTTAGTCCACGTGTGGACTAATTCATTCGTGAGGGCAGAGCCCTTATGCCCAGTCACCTCTTAAAGGCCCCGCGTCTCAGGACTGCCACATCGAGAATTAAGTTCTGCGCGGGTTCTAGAGGGGACAAACATTCAAACCACAGCAGTGGCTACTGGTAGAACTCTGGGCTTTTGTCTTAACTTCTGTGCGTTAATAGGAACTTGAAGAATATAGCAAAATGTTAAAATGTGGTTTTCATATTCGGGTTTGGGCAGTGGCTTCATAGATAAAAACGAAAGTACCCCACTCCCTATTCTGTGTAGAACCATCTGTGTAGGATTTGTAAAAGGTGAGATCAAAACCCAATTCTGCCAGCATTGGCCTGTTAACCCATCTCCTGACTATTTAAGAAAAGGCTAAGAATACATGAAAAGGACGAAAAGACCAAGAATGCTTATTTCTTTGGTAAGAGTTGTTGGTATCACATGCAAGGAGGGAGGGAGACTTCTCTCTGACCTCAACATGACAGAGGAAGCTCCAAGAGAACCATTTGGAAGGTTCAACATACGTTCCCCCGGGATTTGGTTTCTGACTTAAACCTGAAAAGTCTAAAGGGAAGAGGGTCTGTTGGGTGCTTTGGAACGGCAGAAAGAAGAGGAAGGTAGACGTACTCTCAGAATTTGGCATGGCAGAGGTTGCCTGTAGGTCTGGGGTGTGTCCCACAGAAAGGGCTAATTATATATCACTTTGAAAGGGATCATGCCCAGTGTGACTTCCTACAAAGGGCAAAGTAAGCTCAATCAAAAGAGGCTGGGCATTCTATCATCAAATGCAAAAGCTAAGGATACTGTGAGTAGCAGCAAGTGAGAGCGCCCCAGTGACAGGGAAATCTCCAAGGAACCCCTCACAATACTCCGAGTTTGAGAGAGATGGCATTTGGTCGTGTGTCACACCCAGAAGGTAGCAATGCCGTGTAATGGTATCAGTCAAGGTCAGGAAAGACCTTTCCTGTCCCTTTCTCAGCTCCTCTCCTCTGACCCTCTACCAGAGGAACCCAAAGAGCAGCTGCCAGATAGGGAAGGGAGAAGAGCAAGAAATGGAGAAGAGACCGATGGTGGTTGCTCTCTCCACCGTGTGTTACAAATCTAAATCAAGCCCAAGCTGGGAAAATGAAAAAATATAAATTGAATAAGAGTTTGAAGTTGTGATATTACACTGGGTTTTCATTACCTAAAAATAAGTATAAAAAGAGAATACCAAAAAAGTATTAGTAAAAAGAAATCTACCTGAAAGTTCATTCAGAGGCAAGAAAGTATTGTTTTGACAGGGTGAGTTTAAAGGGAAATGGGAACAACTAAAATTACTTTCTGCTTCCTTAGTTCAGCTATTCAATTAAGCAGAACAGGAGTTTCGAAAATCCTCTTCTCACATTTTTTTTTTTTTAATTTCAGCATATTATGGGGGTACAAATGTTTAGGTTACGTATGTTGCCCTTGCCCCCCTCCCCCTCACAGTTGGTTTTTAACTCCATTGTCTTGCTAGGGACTCAGAAATCCCATTTTGGTGGTCAAAAGCTGAGGTTTGATCCTTCGGTATTTATTCCTCTTGTAATAGCTAGTCCTTTCCTCCGCGTTTGGATAGAATTGGGGGTGGTCTAATTGGTGGAACTGCAAAAAGAAAAAAGAAAATTAATTTTTTTTAAAAAAATTATCTTTCATCTTCCTTGAAATCCTTACCACAAGAATCCTGGGAAACCAGATTGCTCTCCCTTGTGCATAGATGAAGTAACCAAGACCCAAGAGAGGTTAAACAGCTTTCTCAAGGCCACTTGAGTGTCAGTGGCAGAACTGGGGTTTCGATCCAGGTCTGTCTGGTTCTAAACACCTCGCCTTGTGCTCTGTACATACTGTCTCACACGGAGGTGTATAAAAATATTGCCTTTTTATTAAACTGTTTGTTCATATAGATAAGGTAACATTTTTCTAATAAATTGTATTTTTTCTACAGGATAATTGCATGTAAATATCTTTAATATTTGAGAATTCTCAAAAGTTACTGAAAGAGTAAGAAAATATCACTAATTTGTTCTTATTATAGAGTGATGACATTAGCAGACCAAAGTATTTCTCCAAAACCAAAGTGTACTTCAAATTCAGAATCAGGTAATGTGTAGTGAAACTAATTATTTTCATGATTCTTTGTTTCTTTATATTTGCTACAGTGCCGCACGTGTTAACAAAATTGGTAGTCCAGGAAACTGAGTACTTTTTGGCTTGGTTGTATTTAAAAAATGAAGGTATGTGGAGTTAGAAAGTGGGTCTTTCCCCACAGCATGCATGACTTATTCATTTAATAAACATTTAGTGAGCATGTACTCTGTGCTAGGCATTGTTAGGGATACAGTGGGAAGCGAAACACTTTTCCTGTCCTTTAAGTTTCAGTTGTAGAGAGGAAGATACATCAGAGAGAGGAACAGATGCCCTGTGGTTATGTGTGATAATTGAAGAATAAAGGGGTCAGCAAAGTGACTTGCATCAGTGACCCGCTGTTATTTAGTTTACTATTAGAGTAAATTTAGCAAGACATTTACATCCCTATTAACCTCTGCTGTGTCTCAGGTTTCTTTTTTCTTTATTTCCTGCAACAAGTTTTATAGCATTTATTTGAGAGTAAACTTGAAGAATTGCTGCTTTTGCTCTTGATGGTTGTAAATGTATATATGAGCGAAAAATGTATATTTATTTGCATAATCTTCATTTTCAGAAGTTGTCTTAATGAGCATTTACTAAATACCAGGCATTTTGCTAGGAACCATGGGTATAAAAATGATTAAGATAATTTCTAAGCGAAATTAGTCTCGTGATAAAAACCAAACTTATAAAAGCATAGATCATTGGAAGGAGCAGTATCTTCTACCCTGGAGGGTGAACATTAGAAGGAGAATTTGTTTTAGAAACTGAAGACTACGGGAGCATGTGAACAACAGACGGGGGGTGGAGAAAGGAAGGCGCTGAGGGCCCCGGACACAACGGGGATCTGTCCTGGTCTTGCCCGGTTAGGAGTTGTGCTTTAGCTGTCGAAAATATTGTCTGTAAAGCTTAGTGGTGAGACAGAATAGTGATTCTGCAATTATGTGTGCTTTTTTATTCTTTCATGTGTTAATTGAATTAACATTTAAAATTAAGTATCACATCTTGCTCTACAGGTTTCTGTGTTTTGTTTTTTTTTACATATTTTTTCTTTTTTTAATTTTATTTTAAAGACAGGGTCTCGCTGTCACCCAGGCTAGGGTGCAGTGGCCTGATCATGACTCACTGTAACCTTGACCTCCTGCGCTCAAGTGATCCTCCCATCTCAGCCTCCCGTGTAGCTGGGACTGTAGGCACGAGCCACCATGCCTGGCTAATTTTTTTATTTTTTGTGATGCATAGTCTTGCTATGTGGAGGTTAAAACCCTTACATACAGCTGTCTTCTGGATATCTCCTCTTGGATTTTTAGAGCACCTCAATTTGCCATTCGTTAATTCAGGTCATACATCAAATATTTATTAAGCACCTACAGTGTGACGCAAACTGTTTTAGTTGCTGAGAAACATGACAAAGCCCTTGCTCTAACAGAGCTTATGTTATGGTAGAGGAAGGAAGACAATAAACAGATAATAAATATATAGCATAATATATATCAGGTGGAAATAACAGTAATGAAGGAAAATAAAGCAGGGTAAACAGAGCGGGTGTGATAGGCATGCTGTTTTAGACAGGGTTATCAACTTTCTGAGGAGGTGACATTTATGTAGAGTCTGAATAAAGTCAGAGAGTGGCCATGTGAAAATCTGGAGACAGAGCATGCCAGGCAAAGGAAAAAGCAAATAAAAAGGCCATGAGATGGGAATGTGCTCAGCGTGTGTGGCTGGAGCAGAGCGAGTGAGAAGATGAGTGGTTGAAATTGTCTGAGAGCTGGTCGGGTGGTGTGGAGTCGAGTCTCGTGTATGCCATGGTAAGGACTAGGGCTTTTATTCTAAATATGCTGAGAAGTACATCCTAGATCATCTTAAAGCAGAGGGATGACATGGTCGGATATATATGTACGTTTTTTATTTTTTATTTTATTTCATTTTAATTAACTTAAGTTTAAATAGCCCCATAGGCTGGTGGCTACAACATTGGACAGTACCACTTTAAGGTATTTGTACGTGTAGTGAGATGGAAAATAATCTGTCTGGGGAACCACTGGTTTCACTTGTTCTGTCTGCTTAAACCGTCACTCCAGGGAAGAAAACTCTTAAGCTGGAGGAACTCTGGGCTTCCAAGAGCCCTTGGGTCCTCTGTTTCTATGTACAATATTTCTGTGGTCCTAATGTTCTAAGAGGTGTTATTTTTCTATGTTCTGAAGACTCAGATATATATTTTAGAGTTCTTACTTTGCCTGCCATGTGGAGAATGGGCTATGGTGGCAAAAATGGAAGCAAGGAGACCTTGTTAAACTATCGCAGTTATCAGATAATGGTGTCTTAGACCAAGGTGGTAGCAGTGGCCTGATTTGGAAGATGTGCCAGGATTTTCTGATTAGGCTAGATATTAGATAAGACAGAAAAATGGAAGTCAAGAACGAGTATTAAATTTTTGGCTTGAGCCACAAGGTAAATGGTTTTATCATTTATTGAGATAGTACTATAGGGCAGAGCAAGTTGGGAGAATGATTAAGCGAATTTTGTTTGGGCATATTAAATTTGATCTCTGAACCCATACACACAATGTTATGTAAAAGAACACAGACACAGACATACTGTGAGATTTCATATGTGTGAAGTTCATGAACAGGGAAGACTCTTGTGAGTGGTAGACATGAGAACAGTGATAGTCTTTGGAAAAGGGGTGCCAACTGAGAAAGAACACATGGGAAAATTCTGGGGTGCTGGAAATGGTTTATACCTTGATCTAGGTGGTGGTTATGTGAATGAATACATGTCCACATAAGATTTGTGACCGTTACTGTATATATGGTATACGTCAATAAAATATTTAAAAACTGAGAGGCTGTTAACCTTCACGTAGAGATGTCATGAAGGTGGTTTGTGACATGGGAGTCTGGAGTTCAGAGCAGAGGCCGGGGCTGTAGGTACATATGTGGAGTCAGCATGCAGATATTTTGAAGTTACCAAATTAGATGAAATTACATAAGGAGTAAAAATAAACAGAAACAAGACATATAAAAGGAATGGAAATAGCATGCTCCAGCATTGGAAGTGGGGAAAGGGAGCAGTATCCAGCAAAGGAAGCTGAGACTCAGTTCAGTGGTAGGAAAACCAGGAGAACGTGGTGCCTCGTAAGTCAGAGGAGTGTGTTTCAAGGAGGGAGCGATCCCGGGTATGGCAGAAATTATGAAGATTAAACAGAGTGAGGATGGAGGGCTGAGAATTGTCACAGCCAAGACCCGACCTGCTTCTACCCCAGGACCCTTTATCTTTTAGTGAGCAAATGTCGTTTAGCAGACTGGAAACCTGAGGATCATCCTTAGCACCTCTTTTTTGGTCACTTCTCAATCTAACATCTGTTTCTAAGTCTTGGTACCAGTTTTCTCTCCTACCGAAATCTCACACCCAACTGCCTTCTTTTTACCTGAGGAGATGCAGATGGCAGGAGCAAATAGCCACTAGGGTTGCCAGATTTAGCAATTAAAGATACAAAATGCCCAGTTAAATTTGAATTCAGATAAATAGCACATAATTTTTTGATATAAACATGTTCCAAATATTGTACATGCTTATACAATTACATGTGATAGACTAAAAAATTGTTGTGTTTATCTGAAATTCAAATTTAACTAGGCATCCTATATTTGGCCACTCTACTAGCCTTTGGAATGAGACTAAGGAATATGTAAGCAATACACAGATCATAAAAAGAAGAACTTCTTATGTTAAATTAAGGAAATTGAGTTTTAACTTGAGGGCAGTGGAAAGCCTTTGGAGAGTTTTAAGCTAATGCTATTGGATTTACGTTTTAGGTATACAAGGAGGACAGTGGGCTGCTGAGGGAGGTGAATGGAAAAGCTGTTAGAATACCGGGAAAACCTTTTCATGCCTTAAATCAAGATAGTGGTGTTAAGAATAAAGAAAAGTTGGAAATGTGGTATTACATGATAGGCAAAATTGGCATAGAGCAGACACTCAATAAATATTTGTTGCTTTGAATTGAGTCTGGAGAAGGAGGAAAAGGGAGGATCAGGAGTGAAGAGGAGCCGTAAAGAGGCCGGAGTGGGAAGACGTTCATGCTGTCGTGCTGAGGTCCAGTGAGGGAGACAGGAAAGGCTCATCTGATGCTGGAGGGGAGTGAAAACTGTTGCTTTGGGTTTGGAAGTAAATAGGAAGAGAGGAAGTAAAGTCAGTATCAGTGGACAGCTCTTTGAAGAAACTTGCCTTTGGACAAGAGGAGAGAGGGGGTCTGTAGCAAGAGGGATGCAGGGAGGTCCGGGGAAAGTTCTAATAAGATGAGAGAGGCCTGAGCATGCTTCGAATGCTGATAGGAAAGTTGCAGTAGGAAAGGAGAACTCGAAAACACAGTAGAGGATATGGTAGGAGAGTGAATGAAGAATTTTAATCTCATATAACTTTCTCTACTAACAGAAAGGAAGATATTTTATATACAGTTTATTTACTTCCGTGAAACCTAAAGCTCTTGAGGTAAAGATATTTTTAAGGATATTTTTTCTTATCTACAGGAAGTCAGATTATTCAACATGTATTAAGTTTTTCTTCTTAAACTATTACAAAGGCACAGTCACTAAAATTAGGGTTTTTAAAAATTTTGTTTTGTTTTATCAAATTTGAATTCTTTTGTCCTCTGGACTTACAGTTAATGATAAGTTAAATAATTAGAATACTAAACTATGTTTTTGTTTATAGATAATGCAGCTTGTGAAGTTTTACTTGCTGAGAAAACTTGCCCTTCAACTCCTGCAAAAACAAAGAAAAAAGCAAGTATTAAAGCAGAATAACTACACAAAGCATGAATTTCATTAGTAAAGGGTGTACTTTTTTTTTTGAGATTGGATGTCACTCTGTTGCCCAGGCTAGAGTGCAATGACATCATCATAGCTCATTGAAACCTCAAACTTTTGGTCTTATGTGATCCTCGTGCCTCAGCCTCTCAAATAGCTGGGATGACAGGTGCCCACCACCATGCCCAGCTATTAATAATTTTCTTTATTTTTGTAGAGAAGGGGTCTCACTGTCTTGCCCAGGCTGGTTTCAAGTGATCCTGCCTCCTTGACCTCCCAAAGTGCTGGGATTACAGGCATGAGCCACCATGCCCAGCCCAGGATATACTTTTACCCAACACTTTCATAGGAATTATTTTGCAGCTATTTAAGTCAATAATTAAAAATATTTTTGGAGTTTAATAATTAGATTCTTCAATTTTATGTAAACTCTAAGCTACATATACATGAATATATATTCTGTATAAGTTTAACAAAAGAGAATTAACATGTACTGTGGTTCCCCCATTATCCGCAGGGGATCTGTTCCAAGACCCCCAGTGGATGCTTGAAACTGCAGTTAGTACCGAACCCTATATATGTACATATGCTGTGTTTTTTTGATCTGTTAACTCAGATAGCTGTTAAGTAACTAGTGGGTAGGTAGTTTATACAGCATGGATGTGCTGCACAAAGGGATGATTCATATCTTGGGCTGGACAGAAGGGGATGGCACAAGATTTCATCATGCTACTCAGCATAGGGTGCAATTTAAAACGTATGAATTGTTTATTTCTGGAACTTTTCATTTAATATTTTTGGACTGTGGTTGACAGCAAATAACTGAAACTGTGGAAAGCAAAACCATGGGTAAGGGGGAACTACTGTACTTTACATTTTTCCCACCTTCCCTTTGAATAATTGGATGTCTATTAGTCCTTAATTTAAGGTAAAAATAAGAAATTTACCATGGAGCTAGAGCAGTGTTTTATGCTAAAGATTGCTTGCAAATCAGTATGTTAGGCTTGGAATCTGGAGGTCTTTGGGGAAAACTTTTAACTTAATTTTGAATGTAGCAAGAGCTACTTCTTAGATGACTTTTCATTAATTATATCTTTGCTTTATATCATTCCAGTCAGGTAGGTAGTTGGTTTTTTTGTTTGTTTGTTTTTGCCTATTTTATAGCTGAGAAAACTGAGGTTTATATTTTCACTATTTTTTTTTTTGAGGATCTATTGTTAGGTCTTTCTGGATCTAAAACATGTAGTCTTTACACTAAACCATACTTTTATTGTAATAAATAAGGGAGTGGATTGAAAGAGGGTAAGAGTGTCAACAGGGTGACTTGTTGGTGAGAAGTTACTGCGATTTTTGGTGAAAAATTGTGGTGGCTTTGACTAGGGTGTTTTGAAGGAGAGATGGAGAGAGATGAATGGGTTCGATTTTGCTTGTAGAGTTAATAGATTGGATATAGAGGGTCAGTGAGTGAGAAGTGTTAAGAAAGACTTCTACATTTCTGCCTTGCACAGCTTTGGTGATGGATAAAGATGCTATTTAATGTGATGGGAAAGACAGGAGATTTGAGTATACATGAAGATGGAAATGTTGAGAAGGCCATGGAAATGGATGAAATCATCGGGGATGGAGTACCTATAGAGTGAAGAAGAGAAGGGGGTCCAGGATCAATCCTTGGAAAACTCCACAGGCATGTAGAATAGAAAGAGTGGCTAGACAAAGGGAGGAAAATAAACGAAATATGGTATCATAGAAACTAAGAGAAGAAAGCATTTCACCCACAAAAGGCAGGGAGTGGTCAACAATGGCGAATTGAATGCTGCTTGGAGGTCCAGTATTATAAAGAATTTTTAAAAGTCAGTTGCAGGACTACCAGTTTCCTATTCAGTGTGTAAGATTCTCAGAAGTTGCCATTCTGTCCTAACAAGAAATAAAAAGCTGAACAAGCTGAAAAATCACCAACCCTTCTTAGATCTGTCGAAGAAGGGAGGCCATTCAGCAAACTGTTGCTCCAAACACTGGAGAGAATGACAGGAGGATGTAGAGAATCACAGCTTATCAAACCAGAAACCCATGAGCAGAAACCTCCATGGGAACCGTTGCCAGGACAGGAAAACCTATCTTGGGGATGGGACCCAAGTCTAAATATGAAATTCATTTATGTTTCGTATGTATCTTATACACATAGTCTGAAGGTAATTTTATACAATATTTTTAATACTTTCGTGCGTGAAATAAAGTTTTGATTGTGTTTTGACTGCATTTGTCACGTTAGGTCAGGTGTGGAAATTTCCACTTGTGGCATCATGTTGGTGTTGAAAAAGTTTTGGATATTGGAGCATTATGGATTTTGTATTTTAGATTAGGGATGCTCAACCCTAATCTATTTCAAACTATTTTGTCTTTCAACAGGTTTTTTACTGAAATATGTAGATGTTATTTTTTTCTGGAAAATGATTTAAGTTTAAATCTTTTTTTTCAAGTTGGAAGAATGATAGGATATCTGAGAAGTACTGGAAATGTTTTTATAGCACTTGAAATGTATTTCATGATTATGAATTTGTTTCAGCCTGAAAAAGATTCTGAACATAGAGATACAAATTTCCAAACAAAGTTAAACTCTCATCTAAAAATCAAGGTTTCATCATCCTACCATAGGTCTGTGTTGAAAGCAATGCAGGTAGACCAGTCATGGACCTCCTGCTGCCCCAGCCCCTGGCATCTGCACTGGTAAGCTCTGCTCTTTTATTAACTAATAATTCTTGAAAAGACTATAAAAATGTACTGATTGGGAAGATATAGGAATATGTAATTTATTAACAAACGTAGGAAAAATATAAGGAAGCTATATACTTACAGCTGTACACAGGCTGATGTTTTTAAAATTGAACTGACAGTTGGCAGTTGTGTCAATTGGAACCACTGGGAAGCGGATAATTGAGACAGAATTAAGAGTTCAGGTGGCTTATTGGAGGGAGTAGGACCTGAGAAAGGAAAGCAGGGACGAAGCAGGATTGGTCAGGGATGGCCTCAGTATTGAATGCCAATCTGACAGGCTCTCCCCGTGAGGAGTTCTGGAGCAAAGATTGTCCATTGCAAAGTCTCATGTTGGGCTGCTGTGCCCAGATGTTGGCTTGGCGCTGCCTGAGAAGACCGTGGCCTCCCTCAGCTGGAAAGCGAAGCAGATTCTAAAGATGTTGCAGCTGGCGCTGCTGCCGAACTGCACTCCTGACACTGGAACAAGGACATTCGAGCCAGGCACTCCCAAGACTGCCACGGTGATGATGATAATAGCTGTTACCGAGTATCTCCTACTCTCCAGACACCGACGTCCTCTTTCCACGTATTATTTGCAACTTTTGTATAGCAATCTCCAGAGGTAGAATAATCTTCGTTCAGATGAAGAAATTAAAAGACTACATAGCTAGTAAGTTAGAGAGCTAACTATTCAGTGTACCAAGTAAATATACCTATAAACATTTTTGATAAAAACTTACAAGCTATTCCAGACTATGTCTTGTACCAACAACTAAATTTAAGAGATTTTAAATCAGAAGGAAAAGAAAGAGAGAAAGGAAAGAAACCTAATATAGACTTTCCTACGATGTTCAAGTTTTATCTCAGAGTCTGGGTTCCAAACTTGACATCATCTAATAGATGTGTATTCAAAAAGATTTATCAGAAGGACGTGGTCGTCTCATGGAATCCAAATGTTGGAAAGGCAGTTGATCGCTAGAAATAAAGCTGCCTGTCTCTGTCTCTTTGACTGTCTTTCACTCTTTGCTTCTGCTCTACCTCTCCTCCTGTTTCTCTGTCTTCGCTGTTTCAGATTTTGTCTCTTATTTTCAAGCTGTCTCTTTTCCCTTTCTCTGTCTTGATCTCTCTCTGTCCTGTCTCTCACTCTTTTTCTGCTCGTAGTCTCTGTGGGTCTGTCTCTCTTCTTCCCTCTCTCCATCTCTCAGTCATCCTCTCCTTTTCTCTTCCTCTCTGTCTTTTGCCTGTCCATTCTCCCTCCCCCTTACTCTTCTCTTCCCTTCTCCTTCCTTCATCTCCCTTCCCCTCCCTTCCTCTCCTCCCTCTCTCGTTGTTGACCTGTCCCTCCCTCTATTTCTGTCACTCTCTTTAGCTCTTGGATCTTGTCTCTTCTCTTCTTGCTCTGCCTTTCACTCTTTCTTGCTTTGTCTGCCTGTCTTTCTCTGCCTTTTTGCATCTTCAAGAAATAGAAAATGAGTCTGCATCCTACTTTATAATTTCTTTAACTATGATTTTTCATAAGTGAAAGTATCTTTATGCATATTTTTTTGAGTCAGTGTCTTGCTCTGTTGCCCGCCCTAGAATGCAATGGTGTCATCATAGCTCACAGCAACCTCAAATTCCTGGGCTCAACTGATCCTCCTGCCTCAGCCTCCTGAGTAGCTGAGTAGCCTCCTGAGTAGCACTACCCGGCTAATTTTTCTATTTTTTT